GCAGACAATGAATAAACTACTGTCCAGTTCTTCCATTGATCAGCAGTAAATCCTGAAAAACTGTTGGCAATCTTTCCAGGTATGCGTCCAATATCTTGAGGCACTGTCATCCCATCGACCAGTTCTTGGATCCTTTGAAAGTCCTCATCAGATATGAAATCATTTTTTTCATTAAGCCACACATTTTTCATGATGTGTTTGGCTGTTCCCAGATAAAGATTGTGCATGGGGTCCACAACAAAGTAGCGAATACAGTCAAAATAGTCTAGTTCTTGCAGAACTGAATACCTAGCACCTAACTGAGAACACAGTTTTTGTTGTGCAGTAGGGCTGGTTTCATCCATTGTTCTTTTTGCAGAACACTTATGCTCAGAGGATGTTCTGGGGCTCCAGTTTTCTCGATCAAAACCACTAAAATCGAGGCCATCTCTAGAACCAAAAGATTTCTTACAGCGAGAACACCCTTGTGATGACATGTGACTTAGAAATCCCCCTATTTTTCTTGTGGCTGGAATGTCTGAGGAGACACAAATGAGTCCAACCTTTATTGGTCGTTTAAAAAAACTACCATGAACTGAGAATCGTTCCTTACAAGCCCACAAAGCTTGTAACTCTCTCACAAGCGGTTCAAGGAAAGTGTTGGCAGTTAGCTTTGGCTCTGAAGGTCCAGGCAGAATTCCAGTTACTATGATGTTCTCAAGTCTATATCTTTCATGACGAGGTAAATTAAGTAGAACAAGATACACAACTCCAACTGATCCTGGTGAATGCTTATGAGGTCTGAACCAATCTACATTAAGCATGAAAGCTAAGCTGTTCGAGTTTGAAAGAAACCCAGTTGAAGACAGCTCCCTCCAAACATTCCCTTGGTAGATATCTGTCTTAACATTTGCAGAGGAAACCTGATTTCTCCATTCTTGACATTTGTTCCACAGTCCAGGTCTAGCCAGAAGACGCTGCAAAGACTTCACAATCGAGTTATATGGATACACCATTCTTGGATAAAGAAATGTTTTTGTTCCATTCTGAACAGTCTTTAGTAGTATTTCATCACAAGGACCTAAGGAAAAGAACTTCAAAAGTTATACAAACCCAGCTCATGTGGAAAACCTGTAATTTAATATAGAAATAAAAAATTCTTTCTTACTGAGTACTCATTGCATACTCATTGAACTTGTTCACTTCTAGAAAACCCTCTCCAAGATGATGAGAAAAGTCCACAGTTTTTCTAATAAGCAAAATAATCTTCATTTTAAGAATGCAGCAACTCAGCAGTTTTGCTCCCCCAATATCTTTGATGTAGTATATAAAAAAACAAGTGCAAGGGTTTGATTGTGGCATCCAAATGTTAAGAAACATGAAATGAAAGCACAAGGCTGCTGGTTTAATTTGTTTTGAGATGTTTGGATGCCACAACCAAACCTGAAGCAAGAGCCTTTTAGCTTGCTTCACAAACTGCCTATTTCAATCATCACCTAAATTGTCACATTATTGTTATGCTCTTTTCGTTGGTTGCATAATTTTGGACATTTTATCAGCAACTATCCATCTGTTGTCTCTTTGGGGTTTCTTTGGGGGATTCAAAGTGTGTGCTAAATTTATGGTAGTTTTGCTCATTTAGTTTATAGCTCTATGGTTAGTTGGAGCTTAATTATGGCAGAAAGTAATGCAGTTAACCGTTTTCACACCCTGAAAAGGGGTGAAGAGCAACGTAAACTGCTAAAGGAAAGTTTTCCCAAATGTAGTGTAATTTTCTTATTTGCCTTAAACATACACATAAATTTAGATATTCAGTAGAAACTTATATCCAGATCACTGATGATCTGGATGTGTTTTTATTGGATATCTGGATTCATGCATGTGACGAAATACAGATATACATATTTATCAAGTATCTAGTTTTATGCATGTGACAAAATACTTTCCACTCATTGGCCAATAACCTCAGAATAATTAATGAGTTTGAGGAGGAATACATCACATGCACATAAAATGAACTGACTGCTATGTAGTTTCTTACCTCTGCGATTCCTGTGTGGGTGTCTTGACCATGGTACAAACTTACATCGAGCTGAAACTTGCCTTCCACAACGGTTCTGGATGCAGTCTTTGTAATCATACAGGTTTTTGCACTTTGGGCACACAACATATTTAATAAATTCATCATTTCCTAGTAGCCCAAGGTTCTTCCTTAACTTGTAAAGCGTACTTGGCAAACGTTTTGAAAGTCTAGAAATTATACCATTCTCATCAAAAGTTCCAAGAAGCCCCAAGAAACGACTAAGAAATTTGAGTAGCATTTCAACAGCTGAGTCTGTAAAAAAAAGCTGACTGCCAGGATACTAGAAACAATAACAACCAAAATACAAGAATACCGCATCTGTCGGAGATTGAGGGTGAATATTCATCGGCATTCTCAGTTGATTGATTCTGCTCAAAATCCTCTTCAGAGTCTTGAGCATTTGGAAAACCAGACCAGTCTTCGTTCACAGAATCTTCCCTGACATTTCTACCACTTTCATATGCTTCGATCTCTTCATCGTCGTCCTCAAAGTAAGACAGATCTTCTTCGCTAAAACGTTTCCTTAATCGGTCCTTGAGTCTTCTTCTAAGATCTGGAGACAAAGGGCAATCGATGAGTTCCGCCTCAGTTCCATCGATGCCCCTCATCTACCTCATGGCAGTTGATCGGCGACTCTGTCTCAAGGCCATCGCCATTGCATAAGTTGCCGTTTGACAAAAGCTGTGGAGCATCATCAGCGTCTCGGTGGATTTCATCGCCAGAACTGTCCGGGCAAACGTGTGTCCTCGCTCCAGAATAGGAGTAACTATTTCCACATCTAGAACAATAAATTCGACGCCTATTCCGCCGATTCAGTTCGCGAGGAAAGCTTCTTTTTGACATTGTAAGGTGCTCCAATCAGCAAAATAACGAAAAAGGAACTTCGATCCCAAAATACAGGATGAAATCTTGTCAAATACTTAATAAATTTTGTTAATTGTTTAAATTGACCACTAAGAACAATACTTTGATGAAGGATTTTAATTTTTTGCGTCCCTCTTGGCGCCATACATAAGACCGCTGACCATCATGCACGAAATTTTTGACCAATCATATCGATTGTTATGACTGCATACTTCATTGGACCAATCATATTCCTTGTTTTAGTTTGTTCGTGAAGGGAAAACTCACAACAATCATTCCACGTACGACTTGCAAGTCGAGTGAAAGCTGTCTATTTACCTAACTCTCTATCGAGAAATGGCATCTAGCAGAGCCTCAAATGTATCCGAATTTCGCCAAGTCTTGAGTAGACTCAAAGATTTACATGAGAAGCTGGAAAGGTCCGATCAATCTAGTCTTGCAGCTAAATTGTCGGACATAAATGACTCCTTAAGCATTATCGAAGGTAACCAGACTGACTTCTCCGATACAGTCCTGCAAACTTTGGAGAGGATCCATTCTACGATGGTAAATGGCTTTAAAACTATGGAAGACAGGATATCCACGCTAGAAGCCAAACTAACCAGCCATGAGACTGGAAGCTATGATGCAGTGACGCCGCCGAATTCTTCAAGAAAAAGAAAAATCGCACGGCACCCTGATCTTTCGGTAAGATACGTGAATATTTTCCTCTTTGCTATTTCTTTGCGTTGAGAATGTTAACCATAAAATTTATAAGATATATCAAAGGATTACCCGGTAAGAACATGGAAAGTGAAGTCAAAAGACGTTTTCAAATTTCGTGCGCATTTTGTGATTTATATCACACCTTTTGATTGATCAAAGCCGATCCCCGCCATTTTGACTTGCTGTCGGTTGCGAATTTCTTTATCATCCGTCCTCTTTCGGTGACGCTAACGTCCCCTTAGTTCAAAGATGTGTTTATGCATGTGAGCGATTGATTTGTTTGCTCTCTCTTAGAAAGAGAGAAGGAATGACAAACTTAAATTTTCTGATGTTTAAAACACTCAGTTAAATTCCTCTTGCATTTATTGATGATCATTCACAGCATTACGTCCGCTCCAAGATGGAACAGTTAGGACTGTCGTGGAACACGGAAAGGAAGTAAGTTCATAGCCAAAGGGGAGTAAAGATACTTGTAACATAGTTTGTGATTGAATAGTTTACAACAGAAGTCCATGTGGAAAGAAAGTGGGAGGTGCAAGTGGTTTGAAGAGCTACGCATTAATAAAATCTCAACCACAAAGGAAAAAAGTAGAATTAAAGTGGTGAGAGCAGAAGTAAAAATCATCGTTTTAGTCCCACGTTTTCTTGATCACTCATGTTAGTCCATGGAAGTTCACTGTAAGAATACCATACTGAGGAATGCTGTGTCATGGCTCCATTTGGGCTATTTGTACCACTTACACCAAAAGAAGAGGTTTCTCATAAACCTAACCATTTGAATAATGAGTTACAGTTTCTATTTGGGGGCACCAAAGAGGGGGAACCTATGCTGGAAATGACTTTGAGGTTTTGCAATTTACTTTTATCTACACATTATATTCCAACAGGGAGAATGAGCCACCAAACCAAGAAGTTGCCAGAAGACTTCTTAAAGAAGTTCAAGAAGTTGAGCACGTAAAGAATGACTCTCTCTGCACAGAGAGGCGGATATTTGGTATGTTTCCCTTTGTTATTGATTGTTTTAATTGGTCAGGACCTTTAAGTCAACTATTTATCACTTATCAACTCCAAGAAATGGATATCTCACTCAACTTTTGCTTCATTGGGATTGATTTCTTTTAAAGTTAAACCGCAAGAAACCTGCTCTGTTTATATCACCTAAGTTGGCTCACAATGCCTACATGTTGTCTTTTTCAAACAGAGTAAATGATTTTAGCTCTGGTACATTAACTGTATAAAGCTAGTCAAATAATTTCTCGGGTACAGCTTCAGTATTAAACCTTGGTTTCCTGGCCTGACCTCAGAAATATTTAAATTTTCAGATGCTGTCTCTCAAAACTTTGCCTCCAACAAAAGAAAGAGGAGGCAGATGGAAAATGGTACATATGAGCAGTACCAAAGGGAACAGAAGAGGAGGCAAAGAATTAAAAGGGTAAGAGTTAGCTTGCTTCAATGATGTTTCTACACAAAAAGTTAACTGTGGACCATTTCATTCACCTCTTAAACTCTTTCTTTTCCTCTATTTCTCTACCCTATGTGATTGTGGAGATTACCAGTATTGATGTTTTTCTGCTTGAGCTTAGTTTAATATTGAAAATTGAATGTCATGTTAGTTGTGCAATGAGCCAAGCAGTTTTGAAAATGTCTTTAAGTATTATGAGTTAGAGAGAAACATCTATTTCAAATGATGTTATCTCTCCTAACCACAACTATTGTTTATTTAATGAAAGTCTGCTAAGTCTAAAACTTTTCATGTTTTACCCTAGAAACTGGAGAAGAGACTGAGAGTGGTTACTGAGGAAGAAAAGGAGTCAGAAATGTTCGAGGCATTGCATTTGTCAATGATATCCTCAGATGAATCTGATGGCGAGGATGACACCCTGTCCACAAAGCATCTTGTCTGGAGGGCAGAGGAGGTTTCTTCTTTCTTCAAAGAACTGGACTCACGGCATAGGGCAAATATGTCCACCCAACAAAGGAGGCAGTCTGTAAACAGGCAGGTTGGCCTTCCAAGTACCAGAAGCCACAATGAAGTGCCAGAGAAATTAATCTGGGCCATTAAATTGTAATTATTTTCTGGTTTTTTTTTCCATGAATGCTGTTATTGTTTACTAGGCAATTTTGGTTACAGTGAATCCATTAGTAAGAGTAAAGCAGTAATTAATGGATGTTCTTGACTTAGATTAGATATGGGATATTTACTTCTAGAAGCCCTGCTATGTTCCTTAAGTTCAACTGCAAAAGTTCTTTTACACTTGAGGATGGTGTTGAGTAGGATTTTTCAAACTCTAATGTTTGAGCCTAGAATTTTTTTTTGTGATGTTTATCAAAATTAAGGAAACAGCTCGAAATGTTGAACTGGATGATACATGTAAAAGCTTCTTTTACAACTGCCTGTGTGAGTCCCAATATAATCATCCAAATTTCACATATATGCATTTCAACATTTTCCCAATTTTACATATGATCCACCTCAGGTGGTGAACAGATATTAGGTTTCACTCATTTTTGTGCAAGGTTTGTTTGTGTCATTTAGAAGTCTCATTTTATTGACCAAAATGAAGCAGATTGTATTTGTTTGCCAAGGGTGAGACATACAATTTTGTTGATATTGTAGTAAGAGTGCATTTTTTTGCGCTGATACTTTTAAAATTTTTTTAAAATGTTAGTTTTCAAGGTTTTTTGTGTTGTGAATATTTGTAAAAATTGTATAATTAAGAACTGATGTAACTAGGTGAATACTACTTTGGTTAATTGGTAATAAAAAGGCTTCAAAAAAATTTATGTCAAGGCTCTTATTACTTGCGTCACATACGGGAGGGAATGATTTCAAGTAGTTCAATGGATCATTTGATTTGCGAAGTGGATTCAGCGACTGGTAGAACTTCTTCAAAATCGTTCTAGAGCAAGGGAGCCTGGAGCTAAAGAAATTATGAGCGAGAGAAGTAAATGTAAATATAAATTTCCAAATGGTTGACAGTGTAAAACACCGATGAATATAGGAATACATGCCATTTTCCGCACGATAATCGAACGGTAAATACAAGAAAATGCGTGGGAATAACCGCATTCGGGTGGTGAACCGCCGCTAACAACGCGTTTCCTCAACGCAAACAGCTGCAAACGCTAGAAAACATTGTATTTCAATTTGTTAACCAACCCGTGAACGTTGGACGACACTTGGTTTTCAAGCGTTATCTACGCATTTACTGTCCTAGAAAATGGAAGAAAACGCATTGTCTTCAACGGAAAACGTCTGTGAAAACAGTGTTTTGTTACTGAGAAAACACCAGTAAACAACGGAATACAAACTGTTTTCCCGTCTGTTAACCGTACTCTTAACACTAAGAAAACAATCGTTTTCATAGAGTTCACTGTGGAGGAAAACTGCTGGATAATGGAACGAATACTCCAATTTGCCGACTCGAAAACAACGGGAGAACGTTGGATTTTCTTTTCGGAAAATGTCAGAAAATGGGTGAATAATGCTGCGTTTTCAAATATTCACAACTTGTTTTCCGAACGGGTGAACACCACTTTTTTTGCAGTGTATAGCTCCGTAAAAATTTGGAAAAGTTCGCAGGGAATCATTATCTTCCCATTTAAAATCTTGATTTTGCAAAAGACATGATAATAATTCGCTCGCAGCTCTGATTTTTAAACGGACAAGCATCCGTGAACGTGACTTGTGTAACATTAGGTACCAGACGTTGTTCCCTCATAAGTTCGCTCCGCCCAAGTGTCATTTTTTTAAAATTTGCGCATATGAAAACAATAGAGAACTAACGTTAATTAATTTAATTGTTTAGTATTCAAATAAAAGTAAATAATTTTACTCACATGGTTGGAAGATTTCCACTAATGTTTTA